TTGGGCAGTAGGTTTTTGAACAGCGATGTTCATTGTTGAACATCGATGTTTTCAAATGACCGTTGGGCTATTTAAGACAAAATCTTTCCATTTTTGAAAGTCAAACACCCCATCATCGATGTAGACTTCTAGACATCGATGTTTTGATGACCGTTAGCCATTTTTAAAGGAAAGTCAAAGCCAAAACAGCGATGTTCACTATATGAACAGCGCTGTCGGGCTAGATTTCAGTAGATCCACTTTTATTTGATTTCCACAAATCAAGCCAATCAACCCCAATCTTCTCCCAACCGTTGCACCTTGTTTTTGGGTATAAAAAGGGGCCTCTTGGGTCTACTTTTCACATCCATTCCTCACACATTTCATAACTTTATACTGCATCATTCCATAAACTTTTTACATAGCTTTTTGAGCCATTTTTTGAGAAATTGAGTGTGTTCTTGATCTAAATTAGTTTACTCATATTCTACTCTTTAAGAGAGTTTTTGTTCTTGAGTGGTTAAGTGTTGTGAACACTTTAAGGGAGGTTTGTTCCCTTGGTTGTATGAAGGAAGGGCATATTCCTTCGAGTTGAAGTCTTGGAGTGCGGTATCTCCGAGCAAGTGTATTGAGGCTCGTGGGACTCGAGTTCTCAGGTTGTAACGGTTTGTTAAACACCCATAAGCTTAACGAAAGTAGTGTAGCTCGAGAGAGTCTCTCGGGAGGCTGGACTAGCCACACGTTGTGGTGAACCAGGGTAAAATTGGTGTGTTCTTTCCTTACGCTTTTTTATTCCGCTCTTTACTTTATCTCTGCGATTTTTATTTCGCGAAAATTTATAAACATTCTCGTGCCTCACTATTCACCCCCCTCTAGTGAAGGGCACTTATTCTAACAGCTGGATTATTAAATTAACTAATTAATTTAGCTAGTGATTAATTCTGTCACAATAACTCCATTAATTTTATCCTATCTCTAAGCATTATTAATGTGCTAGAATCGATTGACTAAATTATTTTTTCTCATTCATTGACATATGAACATAATAATTTTTCAAGGATTAACTAATAAATTGGCCAGATTAATTAATTAGAACATACAACAATTACTAGCAACTTAACATTTTAATTATTTAAATTTAATATTTCAACATAATTATTTATCCTACATTCCTACTACCCTATTTTCAATTCACATCCCTAATATGTCTAAAAAGACATAGTAATAATAAAAAGTGCACAAATTGAATAACAAAACATGTTTATAATATTAATTAAAGAAACTTACAACTTCCAGAAAAGCGGAATTGGAACAGAACTGAAACTGAAACTCCGAAATAAACTAAAATTATGCTAATTTAGGCTGAAATCGCTACTTTACAGAGAGGAAAACCGAAGAAGAGTTGATGATGGCGAAGGATGATCGACGCTGCCTTTTATAGGCCTAGGAATCTCCGGGGCGGGGTGTGGGGCGGCCGCCCGGCAGGTCGCCTTAGAGGGAATATCCGAATATTCCTTCGCAACTTGATGCCACTTGCTGATATCACGCGGATGAACTCCGGGGCGGTCGCCCAGCAGGTCGCCCTACAGTCGATTGGAATTATCACTGCAAAAGTTCCGCCACTTGCTTATATCTGGCAATTGAATTCCGGGGCTGGGTCCGGGGCGGTTGCCCGGCCCAACCTAGGAATTTGGGCTTCGAAATTCTGTGGCAAGTTCTATATTTTGTGCTGAACATTTTTCTCTTCTGGAGCTATGGACGAAATTGAGTTTAAACATCTCAAATGTTTTATTTTTTTCTTTCAAGTTTTTACTCCGTTTGAACCAGTTTCTGTTTGAAAATTCCAAATTTGTTTTGAACACCCTTTTCTATAAACAAAATGACATCTTCGAGATATTTACAAAAGAAAATAAATATTTTTACTTTAATTAAATTTATTTACACATAAAAACGTTTAAATATAAGTAAAATAATAAGTACAAAATGTACTTATCAATTAACATACTAGTATTTTTACCCGTGCCACGCACGGGGTTGAACGAATACATTTTGTTACTCAATTATTTTTTATTCTTTTTAGCTAATGATTAAAAAATCAAGAAAAATATAATATCGAACTTTAGAATTTTAATAAATGATATACCATAAACATTTGTTAACCGAAATTTATCTATATATAAATTGAAAAGAACATGTTAATGTATACTTTAATCTAAACTTTTTGAAAAACTTCGGGGCAAATCACATTTTTGGTGAAGTTGCAAGGTTACCGTTGTCATTTAAAATTAACACTTTCAATTATGTCTTTGCTTTCACTTGTGAAACTACAATGTAAAATTGACCGTGAGTAAATATTGATTTGGTATAAAATATTCTAACAAATGACAATATTTGGCCTTGACTCTTATAATCTTATTGATAGTCATGGCAAAACATAAAAATATTGAGAATTGTTTTATTTAAATCTTAAATAGTAATCCAAGATTAGACAGTACCAAATTCATTCTTGGTATACAAACTTTCTCCTCGGCATTGTTTTCTGATAGAACAATTGCACCGATAACGTTTTTTCGCAACTCTTTAACGATGAACCTTGTACTATTACACAGCCTAGATGTTTGATCAATGTTTCTCAATAATATGATCAGTACTTCTTTCTCCAAAACTACTTTGTGCTTTAGAATTCCAGAACATTTGATATTGTTCAAAAATTCATCACTACAAGAAAACTGTCAATTTGCCACGGACAATTTCCGTTCCAGAATTTGAAATTCCGTGCAGATTTACATTCTGCGACGGAACTGCAACGAACATTTTCCGTCGCAGAAAAGTTGTGGCAGATTGAAAATCTGCGACGGAAATGATACTCCGTGGCAGATCCGCGACGGACCTGCAACGGGTTCGTATGTCTTTTGCATCCCAAAAATCTGCAACGGAAGTCCTTAATCCGTCGCAGATCTGTGACGGATATAGCGATGGGGTAGTTCGTCGCAGATCTGCGGCAAACGCAGCAACAACGTTTTCCGTCGCAGACAACCTGATCACAGCACCAAAATTTTCTGTTTTTAGGCAGTAGCTACTAAAATCAGGGGCAACACACATTCAACACTTTCACACGCATAACTCTAAACAAGATTTCAATACGAAATAGATAATTCAAAACGAGATTAATTAAAACTTCACGTGCAAATGTAACATAATTCATAATATTGTAAAAACACTAAATATTAAAGTGTTTGTGTCAAATGTCAAAGGTGTCAACAAATCCCGGGCTGTCCTGCCCCTCCCATTCCATTGTCATCGCCTCGTGGAGGAAGATTACCACCATATAACTTCCTTATCTCCTCTTGAATCGTCAGCGACAAGCTTGAAGTTAGATTATCAATTTGTTCCTGCAGCCTTTGGTTTTGCTCTTTAAGTGCTGCCATCTCCGCCGCGCTAGTGCTACTAGTGCTGGAACGGCGAGGTTTGAAGGACGGATTGATCTTCTTCATTTCCCGCACGTAGTCACCAACTCCAGGAACACGGTTCTTTGCGTTATGGCCCTCGACTAGCGAGTACCATATTTCTTCGTCGGTGACTTTAAGCCCATTTTGTCTAGTCTCCTCCCGCAGTCTGAAGAATTGGGCCTGCAATATATGATAGTTAATAACACACAATAACAACGTAACAATAATAGCGTGTCAAGAATAGCAATAACAACATGAACAACATCAAACAACAACACAAGAGCAATGTCATATGACAACAACAACACCATCAATGCAAAAACAAAAACAGTGTCATATGACAACAACAAGAACAACAACAACACAAGAACTTAACAACATTATCATGGATCGATAAGAAACGTAACATCTAGCTAGTGATGACAACACCATTAACGCAACAACAAAAGTAGTGTCAACCCTACAACAACAACACCATCAACGCAACAACAAAAATAGTGTCAATAGGTCCGCCCCGGAATACCATTGATATTCTAGTTTGAGTACGTAATAACAAAATTCTCAATCTTAAGATTAATTTATTTGCTTGTTGGCCAAGTTGAGTTAACAATATAAATGTTTCAAGGTGCATACTGTTTTTATAGATCTTCTCACATAAAATTTTTTTAATTAAAAAACAATGACTTATCTAGGTAGTAAAAAAATGCTTATTTTGCTCATATGTATGTCTTTCGTCCCTGAAAACATAAGACTTTTTGACCAAAATTGAGATTTAAGGGAATGTATTTTACCTTTGACCTTTCAAAAATATCCCAAACCTTAATGGATTGAAAAAGTATGACATGATATGAGCAGTAATTCCATTATTAAAAAACCAAAAAGTACACATATCAAATTAGGAGTAGTTTGGTACCCCCACCTTCACCCCCCAAACTACTAATTGTACCATCCAATACTCAAAGTTAATTATGGAGGGCACTTTTTGAGCCAAATTAATTTTTAGTAAATTTAAACTTTCCTCCAAATTCAATTCCATACTTGAAATGAAATTCTATAAATAGAAACATATGTGTGCATTCAATACACATTTACGGTATGTCCTTCGTGACCTTCTCCTCATCATCTTCGACCTTTCTGTTTTCATATTCATAGTCTCTTATGTCCTTCCTTGTTCTATCTTACTCATCACCATCATCACCATCTTTCTCATAATCATCCTCTTTGTCTTCGTATTCTTCATTTCCGTTTTTCTCTCTTCAATCTTGAGACTCCTACATCAGAAGAAATAAGTAGATTATGGGAAAATGTTTAAGAATGAGTACTAGATTAAATAGGAATGAGTATTACTGGATTTTATAATTAATATCATGTTATTCGTAAATAAATATTGAACAAATGTGTGAAAAAGAGTACAAGAATATTTTAGAATGAGTATTCCATTATTTCAAGGGTAATTTAAAATAAATATTACAAATTTCACTTATTTCAAAATAAATATTACATTATTTAAAAATGAATAACCCATTTTTTCAAATGAACCTGTATAGACTCTCACAATAACCCCTATCTTTGCTCCAATCTTACGGGTACTTTACTAATCCTTCAACAGTTCAACCTGCTCGTTTCAGAATTAGAACAAAGCTCGCTGCGGAAGTTCTTCATCTAATCACCATTGCATTCATTTGAGACTCAATATACTGAGAGTTATCTGAACTTGCATGTTTAGGAAGAAGAAAAGCTCTGTGAATTCTAAAAATGGCGAATAGCTATGCAAGAGTGAATGCGCCGTTGTCAAGATTCGGAGTATTGGTGGCCCAGTTGGAATCCATAGTCGCCTCTGCAGTTCACAAGCCTCCCGACCCTCTCCTCTGCTTTGATCTCCTCTCGGATCTCATCTCCGCCATTAATGAAGAGCCTAAGGTCAGCCTTTTCTCTCATGTTTCTCTTCGGATCTCTATCTAATAAATCAAACTCTCTTCGTTCATCCTACTAGCCCTTCCATAGTTACAGTGCATAATTGATCCTGTCATATGCCTTCTCCATTCTGTTCCCTGATATCATTCGACAGATGATTGCAATAAGCTAGACAAACCCGACATAAACATTTTTTTTTAATTTGGAAAGGTTATCTTTCAGGCAGCATATTTTGTTGGGGAATTGGGTTCTGTCATTTCACTAACTAATATACACTCTTAACAATCATTTATATTTTTTTTCAATAATGAGAATGCTTTTAGTTCCCTACTTCCGTCATGTTTATGAGAACACTACTTATGTGGCAACTAGTAGGGTTTTGATATCACTTTTTCGTTAAATTAAATGGCTCGGTCTTAAGTTGAATGTTGATTTCGTGCATCGTTAGCGCATGAGCTCAAGCTTGGTGATTGATATTCGTAGTTCAGGAATCCATACTGCTGTGCCAGAGGAAATGCGAAGATGCTATTTATTCTCTACTTGTGCTTGGTGCAAAAAAGCCTGTACGACACTTGGCATCTGTGGTTATGGCGAGGGTCATACAAAAGGGTGATGCCATTTCGATATATTCCAGAGCTAGCAGCTTGCAGGGATTTCTCTCAGATGGAAAGAAGAGCGAGCCTCACCCAGTTGCTGGTTCGTCATTCTTGAATTCTCACATTCATCAAAGTCCAGTATGATTGAAAGTTATTTAATTAGGTATTTAATCCATTTCTTTCCGGGTGGGAAATTTGAATGTACTATGGTGATGCCATCTTTTCCCATCATAGACTACAAACTGCTCATGTATTTTAGTGAAAGGACCTAAAGACTACCCGTTTGAGTTATTCTACACTGACTTTAGTATTCCCCAGCGTTTCAACTTGTTACCATTTTATATTCATTCCCTTCCTTCATATGACATTTTTATGGTGCTGTGCACAATGTGTGACACTCTTTTTGTTGAAAATGGTCCGTGTACTCTGTAGGTGCTGCTGAGTGCTTGGGTGAATTGTATTACTACTTTGGGAGAAGAATTACTTCTGGATTACTAGAAACAACAAGAATTGTCACAAAGATGTTGAAGTTTAATGAGGTATTTATGCTTTAACATGATTATTATAACATCTGTTTCTTTTATGAGGTGTGGAAATGAGCATTTCTTGTCAACATTACATAAAAATGTTTAGTTATTGTTGCATTGAAGTTAGAACTGAGAAAAATCTTACATTTGTATTATCTTGAATCTTGATCGATAAGACTTTTTAGAAAAAAACATAATCGGCCTCACAATGATAATTGATATGGAATTTTATGCACTATTTATAGGCTATATTTATCAAAAGCCTACTCTAAATGTCATAAGAACATCATATGATTATCAATAAAGAGATATGGAGAAATATAAGAGTTAGAGAAACTTTTCTATGAGAATGAATTGGAACAATGCACATCCTAGGTGGGGACTAGGTATCTAGTCAGTGATTTTTTGAAGAGGTAAACATAAGTTCCCAACAATGAACTACAATATACAGTCATAGTTGTCATGGCGCATGGTGACATTCATGGCAATGGGCCAATATCACATGGCGATGGCGTAAATATGGCGTCGCCACAGGACACTAGTCACACAACATAGTTAACTAAGATTCACACAGGTATATGACATGGATTTAATAAAAAACAATATAGTACTTGATCTAAATAGTCATGTTGGAAAGAAAAACACAAATAAGAAGTTATTCCAAATCCAAAACGATCCAAGGTGCTAGTAATAAAACAACTTGAGCAAAATTTAAAAGTAATTCAAACTTAAAATTTAGTCTCAAAGTTTAAGATATGAATATATAATGATAATATCTCATCTTCGTCAACTTCTTGAACCATTGGATTACTAGTTGATGCTCGATCCTGCCTCTTTCAAAACCAAGTCTTGGAGACTTGTCTTTAAACCTTCCGGAACAGTAGGACATTCTATTGTGTTACGATTCCCTCCGATTAGATGTTGTTTGAATCTTCTAATCCCACCATTACTTATCCGACCACAAAAATTGCATACCAAATCATTACTCGAGTTTGGTTTCAGCTTTGTGTAGTGTTCCCAAGCCAAAGAGCACGACATTTTAAGGCGCAGGTTCCAGATTTGTATGAAACGCAGCCTATGAAGAAGAAGAAGAAAAAGGTTGTCGCAGGTTCCCTCCCTCCCTTCTCGAGTCCGATAGAAAAAGAGGACGAGTGATGGTTGCGATTGGGAAAAGTTTGTGAAAGGCTGAGTTTGACCAAAAAGAAAAGGGTTTTTTTGCATTGGGCCTAACTTATTAGACCTTATTGGGCCTGAACTAAGCAAAAAAATAAAATAAGAAAGAAAAAAATGGCGACAAATGGCGATGGCGCAAGAATGGCACTGCCACTCGATACTCGATCGCCACAAGTAGGTTTATGGCGCTGGGAGGGCAGAATGCCAATGGCGCGCGCCATTTGCGCCATTGATAACACTGAATATACTACATATTCTTAAGGTGTAAGGCCAAATTTTTCTTTAAGATGTACCCCCAAGTGGATTGTGTGGACAACAAGAACTATGAATTATGAACATAGCCATGGAAACAAATATAGAGGTTACATTTGGTATATTCTGACCCCTCAACGGAGTTGGAATTATTTTGTGTTTGTTGTTATAGTTGTTGCCTAGTGTCATCTATCAAGATATTATCATTGGAAAACAACATACACCAAGGTAAATTATCTTATAGTCTTAGTTATTTCATCCATATTCACCAAAAAAAGAAATAAGCTTAAAGTGATACATGGAGACATTGAGTAATATTTGAACTCTTTCTTTCTCTCTCTCTCTCTCCACCGCTTTCCTCCGAGCATGGTTCCAAAGTTATTGATAACATATTAACATATCCTAGCTTTCATGCTTAGAATATTTTGTAGAAAATTTGTGAGCTTTTCACAAATTTTGGGATAAGGCGCGTTAAAACTTTTCGCGGTTTTGTAAAATTGGCGATTGGCAAATGTAGGAGCAATGGAAATAATGCAAGAATTAAGGATTTCCGAATCCACTAAGTCCCGGCCTCTTGAACATTGGGGACAATGTTGACATTTTGACAATTAGTGATACAATAGGAATTTAGTTCTCTAGACATTCTCTTACAACCAATTTCAGATGAGGGATATTGGCTTATTGAAATAATATTTGGGTATTAAAGAATCATGAAGGGATCGTATCACAAATATTTACTTAATTTGTTGACATACACAAGAAATTCAGGAGCATGACTGTTCAAGACTTCCATAATTCCCAATGTACATTTGACTTAAGAGGGAGTCTCATTTTATAAACTAGTATATGCGACTAGTTTGAAAGTTGAATTATCTCATTGTGACCCATCAAGCCATTGCTCATCGAGTTAGTGTTGTGAGTTAGTATATGGATCCTCCAACATTTGATCATGTGTGATAATCAGGTAGTGATCCCTAAAATATTTTTATAAAGGTTCATAGAGCACTCTGTTCTTAAATAAATGCAACCTTAAAATTTTCACGTTTGCCATCTCATAAAGTAAAGAATAAATTCCAAGAAATATCCTTTGTAGTTAAGGTTTTTCCTTGTTTAGTCCACCCCACAAATTAATACTGCTTTTGGTCGTACGTATTTGAGAAAACTTCCACCAAAGGTTGTCCTCTATGTATATTTTATTTTATACCAACAACAACAACCTAGTAGAATCCCACTACAGCATGGTCTAGGAGGGTATGTGGGTACGTGTACACAGAGTCACAGACCTTACCTCTACTAAAAGTAGAGAGGCTGTTTCCAAGAGGCCCCCATCTCAAGCAACATAGAGGACAACTAGCACAACAAAAGCACAATACAACAGAAGCCCAAGGAGCAAACAAAAAGGGAAGAAAAGCGCGCTAAAATAAAAAGCACAGAAATAGATGTAAAAATAAAGACTTCAAGCCTACAAAGAATACAACAAAGAGACTACAAACTACCACCCCTTATTTTATACCAATATTTTTAATGTTAAGATTATTTTGTCATTATTCCCTCGTAAAACTCTCTAACTATTCTATTCTATAAAAGTATTTATTTAAATAAAATTATGTAAAAAGGTAATTAGTAGTACCTTTTAGTTCAATTCAAAATATATTTAGTCGAATAAACTGGAGTATTATTTGATAAAAATTATGTTCTTTGAAAAGAAAAATATGAAATTTTATATAAGAGAATAATTACTATGGCATGTGCTTAATAACATTTGTATAAAATAAAATATTTATTTTTATTTATAATATTATTTTTAACATGTACTAAACGTGGAATAAACTCCATTTACAAAAGACGTCCATCAGAATTTGCTATCTAATTTAATGATAAATTAACATATTCGTAATATTAAATGGAGAAACTGTGTTGGATGTGTTATCAAATACGTAAGACCACAAAGAGCATTAGTTTGTAAGGTGGACTAAACATTTAAAAACACCAACTACAAAGGACTATTTTTTGAATTCACACTAAAGTAAATTATTAATATCTTGAACTATGTTTTAGCAGAGATTATAAAAAGTTGATATTGCGAAAGTTTATATTGAGACACCTAACAAAACCCTACAAGGCCCACATGCATATTTTTCTTTATATACTCCCTTTGTTCCACAAAAAGCGTTTCTATTTTCCCTCTTTAGATGTTAGGATGTCCCCAAAAAACTTCCTACTTTATTTCGTTTTAAAGAATTGTACTCGTGGCTCCCAAAGCTTCTCTCTCGACAAATTCCAACCGATCATTTTTTTCAATTTTCTACACTTTTCTAAACCCCGTCAAAGTCAAACAAGGAAGTTTTTTAAGGGACAGAGTGAGTATTCATGAAAAACAATCAAGTGTGAGTGCATGAATATTGTAAAACCCTCCTCTGTTACATTTATTTAAGAACAAAGAAAGTATCTAATAATGAGTTACTCCAGGATTTTGTGAGACATGAAGGTCTACACATGCTTCAAAAGGCTTTGGAAGGATCAGGTGGCAGTGCTGCATCGACAGCATATATAGAGGCATTCCGAATCATAATGCGAACAGGGGTTGTAGACAAATCAGTTAATGTTAGAATTGCTGGGGCTAGATGTCTGAAGGCATTTGCTAACATTGGTGGACCTGGATTAGGGACTGGAGAACTTGAGAGCGCATCATCTTATTGTGCTAAGGTTGGATAATTATCTCTATTTTCTCTTTACATTTCCATGTTTGTTATCCCATTATTTATTGATTTTGCTGTATTGATTCCTTCACTTGAGCTCAAATTTGCTGCTTCATTTTGAATCTTGTAGGTGCTTGAGGACCCGGCACCATCCGTTAGAGATGCCTTTGCTGAAGCCTTAGGAGCACTGCTTGCTCTTGGAATGAATCGTGATGCACAGGTGAGCATATTTTGCTTCTGTCCTGGACTTGTTTCTTTCATCATTTTGTAAAATGTTATTCTTAATAGGTGAATCCAAGGGGAAAGGTTCATGTTACACCCAAAAAAATCCAAGGAGGTCTAGACAAGCATTTGGTTTTACCCTTTATAAAAGGTATATCTTAGTATGCTTTCTCATCTGTTCTTTGTTGATGATTATTATTTTTGCACACGGGACAGATCTTGTGCACACTGGTAGCAAGCTGCCATAGGTAGATCTTCCTCTTCCTAGGATCCTTCGTCCTAAGACGCAACGGCTTTTGCCCAGAAACATTCTACGCCCAGGAAATAATTGTTTCACTAATTGTTTCACGATTATGTTCTGCGTATTTACTTGTGACTGAAACTGGAAGGCAAGTTTAATGGAGCAGTAGTTAGACTTGCTTTGTTGTATGAGGGGAAGAGTTGCCCCCCAAAGAACGCCCACATGCAGAAGATGATGGTGGGTGAAATGAGGAAACTTAGGTGGATTTGCGGGTGTAGGAGAAAGAATTGCCTTTGCATCTCAACGAAATGATCACATAACAATTCACCAAAGCCTAAAATAATCTCTTACATAATGGTCAGTTAAAATGCACTTAAAGAACAAACATTATGCACTAGAGTGCCAGTGTTTAAAATATGGTACCATTAATATGATTTGCCCAATCTGTAGAATTTAATATGCACATTTCTTCTCTTTTTTTTCATAAAAGTTATTCTCGTTTGAACCTAACTTTACATGTATGTCAGTATGTGTGCGCGCGCGTTCATATCTTTATTTTTTCGTGGGTGGCAGGCTTACATCCACTGAGTATCATGAAGAACATGAGTATTTTGTTGGATAATTTAGGTTGTTAGTGTACCTTCCATTTTCAGCTATTGTAGATCTGTAGGTGTATTGAAGCGAAGGAGGCAAAAGAGGTATTAACATGATGAAAAGGAGAAAAGCAATTGGCCAGGCCTAGTAGAATTTAGGAAGCATGGAGGTAGAGAAAGGAACGTGTGGCTGGTGACATTGTTTAATGACACTTAAGACAACTAAGAAGCCCGCACAATGGAGGTGAAGCACAGTGATTCTGTTGTACAAGAACAAGGATAGTATCTAGCATTTTAAAACATATAAAGGCATTAAACTTCTCTTCCACACGATGAAGGTTTGGGAAAGAAGGATTCAGAACTGAGTGACTAGTTTAGAAAACCAATTCAGATTCATGCGTAGTTGATCGACCAAGAGGGGTTTGATAGAGCATCAGAATTATAGGAATAGAGATCTCCTTATGGTGTTTGTTCACCCAAGGATAGCGTAATGCACAGCCCTGATGAAGTCTTATATCAATGCTGTGACTGGGAGATGTGCTGGTTGCATATATCTGAGCAATTTCACACATGTATGATGGAGCCAAGACTAGAGCAAGGATGCTGTGAGGATACTAAGGGTCCGTTTGGAAAAGGGGAAAATGACTTCCAAAAGTCATTTTCCCCATTTTCCAGTGTTTGGACAAATAGGAAAACGCTGGTTTAAGGAAAATAAAATGTAGTCAACTGGAAAATGAAGGAGCAAATACGGAATTTGACTTCCATTTCAAAACTCCGGAAGACATTTTTTGGATGCCCGAGCTCTCTCTCTGTTCTACATTTCTATTCAAAGCTCTTTGTCTCTGCTCGCCACTCTATCTATATCGGTCACTCTCCTTTCTCTCTCTCTCTCTCTCATCACTATCCCTTTATCACACTTTGGAAAATTATGTTTTGTAGCTGAGTAGGGATTTATGCACAATCCTGGGCACAAGGTTGATTGAGTTGTGTCCAGTGCACAAGGTTGATTTTCTGGGCTTTAAAACTCGATGATCTAAAAATTAGTGTTGATTATGTTTTGATTCCAGCGCACAAGGTTGATTTTGTAGGCTTTGAAGCTTGATTTTCTGAAAATTAGGGTTCTGCTTGGTTCCATGGGTGTCAAATTAGTCAAGTAACTTTTCCTTTTCCAGAAAATGAATCAAACAGAGATCGATGATTTTCCGATGAATCAAACAGAAGTCATTTTCCAAAACTCATTTCCCCCCTTTCCGAACGGACCCTAATACTACTTCACAGTTGAGACTGGGTCTTCAAGGTTCTGCTTTTCCTCCCTTTTTATTTGCCTTAGTGATAGATGCACTACCAGGCACATCTAGGAGCAAGTACCTTTTGCATGATAGTTGCAGATGATATTGTATAAAACGAGAAGACACATGAAGGAAATAATGAGAGACAAGAGGGCTGGGGGCTAAATCTAAAGGTTTCAAGTTGAGTAGGACGAAAACATGAGTATATGGAGTGCATTCTGAGAGACATACCACACGCTGAAAGAGGTGATTGGACATGATATGCTGTTTTTGCAGCTCACCAAGGACCTGACCCTAGATATGAGAGTTTGGAGGTTGAAAAACAAAGTTGTACAGTAATCTGACTTAGGGCGTGGGTTATGGGAGGGATTTAATTGTAGAGTGGTTGCCTTAGTAGGGGTTTGTTTATTGGCCGATTCCTTTATTTCATAGTTACTTTATCCTTGTTTTTTTTAAAAATTTGATTTTCTAATTTATTTTTAAATTTTCTTTTGTCACGAGTATTTGAGAAACTCTATCTATCTTCTTACGTCAGGTAAGGTCCCGCGTAAATGCACTCTCTATAAACTCCCTTGTAGGACCTTACCTTGTTTATTGCTATTGTTGTTGTTGTTGTTGTTGTGTTTTCGTTTTAGAGACGGTTAATTGTAATGACCAAATTCTTATACACATTGACATTTTGCAGCAAGTGGACCTCGTTCAAAGTATTTGCGGGTCGGCCTTACCTTATCATGGGTGTCATTTTTACAGGTAGCCTGTTGCTCGTGATACATTACATTAGCTAGATGTGTTTTGTTTCACTATCGCCAACAATGTGGCATTTCTCATATTTCAAATGTGATATTTTTTCTGAACATCATATAAAAGGTACAAGTGGGTGGTGAGCTCTTTGGCACCAGAATATCCACTACCTTCGTTCTAATGTACTTCAGAGTTTGACTTTTTCAAGTCAAATTGGATGAACTTCAAAGCTCAACTAAGTTAAAATTGTATTGCGTATTAGTATAACAATGATTTCATTATATTTATCTTGTGGAAAAACATTCAAAAGTTTATTTCATTGCATTAATATGCAATACAAATCTAGTATAATTGATATTTAAAGTTCGTTTGCAAAAAAGTCAAACTCGATGAATATATTTGAACAAAGGGAGTAATTGTCATTTTCATCTAACGTTAGTATCATTGTGATAATGGAGCTAAAAGAGTCATCAATGACAAATTTTTTAGCTTTGGGCACATATTAGAGTAAATCTAAATGGCACATTAAACTTCCTTTAGTTCTTACTTTATATGAACTATGAAGGATAGTAAATGTAGCAATGCATTGGGGTAAGACTCCGTACATCTTTCTATAAATCAGTGGAGTACCTCACTTCAAAGAACTTTGTTCGAACTTATTAGTTCTCATATGAATTTATTAAGGTCTGATTTGAATCTTTCTGATCTGTTCTGAATCAATCTTGATTTGGTCTGATTCTAGTTTAAGTTAAATGTGTTTCTGAAGTGGCTTGATCTGATCTGGTTTGTATTTTTGCGACTTGATTCCAATTAGAATAAGTTGAAGAGGACATGCCCTTAGAGCTTGTTCTCCTCGTTATTAGGGTCTGATCTGATTCGTAGTTTTATTTAAAGCTCTTTCTCATTTGATCTGATTCCAATAAGAATAAGTAATACAACGTAAGTAATAAAGTTATGTTGAAGAGTACAAGCTCTTCGTAGCTAGCCCAATAGATGAATTTTGCATGGTTGAATGTCGCTCGCTAGTAGTGGTACACACAGTTACTCCATCATAACTCTAGGACTTTGCATATGTAGGATCAACCATGAATTCTTGGCTTGGAAAATAAATATTGGATTGTTACTATGTTAGATCATGGTCTCTAGCGGTTTAGCTGCAACTCCAGTAATAACTTTCTAATGTGCTTGTGGTAACGACAATAGAAGAGTTGGCAAAGATTAGACTGGTGAATCAACACAGTTTTTGAGGATGGACACAGCATCCAATAAAGTCGCTGGGTCTATATTCAACAAACGATCAAATAGCCTTGAAAATGTGTGATTGAAGGGTGGAGATGGCAATTACGACTGTGGTAGATAAGTAGATTGTAATTGATTATCATGTTGCAACGTCTTCATATATAGTTTTCCCATTAAATTTGATTTTGACATCTCTTGCATCTAAAACAGAATAAAAAATGCCAATGCTTGAAACTCGATCTCCTCAGTTTTTAGAATTTAAATATGTTGAACAGATCCTTTGACGAATACAGAATACAGTTCTTACTCATCAACCGATTAACATAATTTAGAGAGAGATACACAAAGCCTAACACTCCATGATTTGGTGATTTTTTTTTGTGATTTTTTATTTTGGAAGAAAGACAAAAAAAAGAAAGACAAATAAACAAAACAGAAAGAACAATAACAAATGAAAAGGGTAGGAAAGAGAACGACTCTTATACCAAACTGTTACAAACACATTAGGGAATGTAGCAGAGTACATGTGGCTGGAAGGAAGAGGGAGCAGTCTGTGATTTGCTTCTCAGAATTACAAAATTTGACTTTTAAGTTTTAACTGTTGGTTATTTTATTTGTGATTCTACAACTAATTCTGAGAATAGGCAAGCGACCTAAGAGACCTACCATTATTAAACTAGGAAACATGAATCCTTATTTAGAAATATTAACTAAGATAGAATAAGACTACTAATTGAAAACTTATAATAATAATAATAATATGAGTAATAATAATAATAATGCACACAAGAACAACAACAATACAGAGTAATAATAATAATAACAGTAATGACTATCATATGCTTAAATAGCAGTTGTATTTGTGCTCTCTTTTATAAGACGTGCAATCAAACCACTTCAAATAAGACTTCAAAGCTATTTTTACAGGCCATTCGTTTGAAGTACTCTCTTCCTGATAGCGAGCTTGATAAGTTTGCCATCCAAGTTATGGGCATGCTTTGCGTAGACAATTCTTGGGACACTCAAGCACTGGTATGTTTATTTTCTTATCCAACACTTAAGTTATATGTCTGATTGTGGCACACAATCATCTGAGTGGTTGAAGTTTTATTTTGTCTTCTGCTCCTCTCTTATTGGAGTGAAAGTGGCGCATGCCCAACGAAACTTTGCTTGGATATTAGCAGGACTGGTTATATTTTAAGATCTTATTTTATGACTTTCATTGTGTATCGTGCATATTACCACAACAGTTGGCATGTTTAATGAGATTTCCAGTCCCGTGCTCTCTCACTTGGCCTTAAAAAGTTAAACTTTTGCTGGCTTAGACTCTTATAGTTGTAGTATGTGGAGCTTTTCATATATCCAGAACCATATAGCTATCCATCCATTAATTTTGCTAGGCTCCCTAGCCTCAGCAGTCAGCGCTGCATCTGGTGTTAACAATCCACAAAGGGAATTAATTTTTTTTGGGGTAATTTTGTAGATGGGGATGTCTTCCTTTTTTAGCATTTAGTTGCCTGGGTAATACAAGAGCATTATGGATAATGTTGTCTCGGGGTCTTTGTTAGTTTATTAAATATTTGAGTTCGATGAGCAGAAGAATATACTAGCTAATTCGTCTACAATCATCCAGTACTGCACAGCTTGTTGCATACTTGGTAATTTTGTTCAGTTTTTATTTATCTGCATTGTGTTTTTTGAAGGCATGCGTCCTTTACATTCTTCGAGTTGGTTTAACGGATCAAATGAGTGAAGCTACTCAAAGTGGCTTTTTGGTTGTTTTGAGCAAGCAGGTCTTCTTTTAGTTGCATTTATTTGATTTATTATTTTTATCTGTAACATTTATCGTAGATGATTCTAATAGCACTTAGTGTGCAGCTTCAATCTCCCGACACGACTTCTTCAATGCGAGTTGCTGCTTTACGCACCCTGTCTTATGCTTTGAAAACACTGGGCGAGGTGAATTTTTTTTTGGGGTCTACATGTTTTTGCCCAAATCTTTTCGTTGTTGAAACTTGTTATGCTCTTCTTCAGATATCCAGTTTTTTCTGCCGTCGTTGATTTCTTGTAATTATGTATATAAAGACGGGTTCAGTAGGGTATACCAATTAGATTTCCTGTTCTTTTTAGTGAATCAAACTGAAACACAGATTGAAAAATCCATCAATAATTAATGGTTAGAGATAAAAATTACTCAGTTAAAAACGAGAGAGATTTATGGAATTGGATAATGAAGCTCTAATTATTTCCCCAAAACCTTTGTAGATTATAACAAGCATATACACAGAAGGAAAAATATGACAACGTTTTTACTTTGAGTCAAATAGTGTGCTAGTAAGATTTTTGAGCTGACATAAAATTTGTGCTGCAGAATGGTTAGCACTCATACTTATTGATTTATTAACAAGAAAGTTTGTATGAATACAGATTGTTTCTGTTTGATAAAAGTCATCTGTGATAAATGGTTGAATTTGAAAAATCTAAATGTTACAACTAATTCATATGGTAAAAGGTCATGTAAGGGAAAGGTTAAAAATAAGTGATTTATGTTTTTATTTGAGAAATGTGTACTTATTTAGTTTGAGCACTAATAACTCTATTACAATTGTAGTATGTGCTCATACATACTCTCAACCGATTGAAGCACCAAGTGTTATCGTCTCCACTGGGGATTGAACCCGTGACTTCCCATTTGAAAGTGTCGCCTTGGTGCCATTGGACAACAAGGTCTTTGGTAGAAATGTATACTTATGATTAAATATATTTTTATGTATTAAAAACCATATAATTTAATGTTTGCAGTAAATTTTAATTATGAGAAAGGCATAGTGTTTTTATAAGTAATAATCTAATTTTAAAATAAAAATACTCATAAAAACACTAGTAGTTATTCCGTTGCAATTAATTTAAATGCCTATTTGAATACTTATGTATTATAATTTATTTTTGTGAGTTAAGTTAGTTAATTAGAAAACAAGAAACTAAGATATGGAGTATATGAATGAAAAACAATTGGAAAACAAGACACTAAAAAAAGACAAAACGACTATGCACTAGTACCACATAGAGATTTGAGGAAAGAAATGAGAAATGCTACAAACTTTCTACTAGATGGTATTCAGAGTAGCTTTTGAAAAAAAGCTCCTAACTTTTTAAAAACTGTTCCAAAACTACACTGTACCAAACATGCAATCACGGGCTTTTATGCTATTCAAAGATTGAATCAACTGGCTTGCTAAACATACATGAAGGTCATATACTGACAGTTGTAACAACCATTTAAAGTATGTCAACATTAATTACAAGAATATAAGACCTCATTCATGCAAATATTTAGGCAGCCCTGCTTTTTTGGCAAGTAAAATTTTGTTTTGTTTTTGCTGGGAATTTGCTTTGCAGATTAATTTTTAGAAGCGGTGTCTAAGTGTGTTTAACATTCAGGTGCCTGCTGAATTCAAGGAAGTTCTTGATAACACTGTTGTTGCAGAAGTTTCTAATATGTCACCACAAGTAACCTTCCAACTTTCTTTCAGTTGATTCCTTGGCAGTTCAAACTATGTAACAGTTCTTTTTTAATACCATTTTGGCTCCTATCACTTCATAGGTACGTGTTGAGGCTGCTTTAACATTGCGTGCACTCGCTGAGGTTGACCCTACATGTATAAGTGGTTTGGTTTCTTATGCAGTAACAATGCTTAGTGCGCTCCGAGAAAATATTGCGTTTGAGAAGGTACACAGAAAATAGTTTTTTCACTCAGAGTATCCTCCTAGGATGCTAAACCTTACTTTTATTGTCTATGCATATTAGTTTAAACTAGAATTCTTCACACTTCTGTTACCTATTTCTGGACCTACACAGATGGCAAACCTGCATTTCCCCGGGTTAAAGAATTCCGTGCTTACCTATCTTTCAGATTACCTCATGATTTAATATCTTCTCAAATAATTTCTCCCACTTTGCTTTTGTGTACTGCATATTAGTCTTATTATATTCATGACTCTAGAGACAGATTACCCATCGTTCTATCTTCCTTTTATGCTTGCTTTACCTTCTATGTGATTTATTTAATTTAGCATCACTACTTTGCATGGTATTATAGGGTACTAATTTAAAAGCTGAACTAGACTGCCTGAATGGGCAAGCTGCAGTTTTGGCGGCATTGGTTTCTGTTTCTCCTAAATCACCTCTTGGCTATCCAGCTAGGTATCTGTTTGTCCTTGTCAATCCTTCTTTTCTCATCTGCATTAATATTTAATGTTTTATGTTACCACTTCGGAACTTGTATATAGGTGATAATCTTTGGTTATGCATTCTTGTTTTTGTTGAACGATGGAAGTTGACAAGGTGTTATGTATGCCACCAGAATGCCCAGTTCTGTTCTTGAAGTTTCCAAGAAAATGCTGTTAGAGTCTACTAGGAACCCTACTTCAGCTGCTGTTGAAAAGGAAGCTGGATGGATGCTTTTATCATCGCTACTGTCTTCCATGCCTAAACAGGTGCGCAGTATTAAAAGTGTCTTGTTTTCCTGTGAAGCTTTGTAATGGCTATTGTTAATGCTCACAGTGGTGGATGCAGGAGCTTGAAGAGGAGGTTTTTGATATTCTTTCCCTATGGGCATCTGTGTTCAGCGGAAATCCAGAACACCATTTTAGTGATGCATTAGATTTTCCATCTAGTTTATGGTTTGTTAATTTTTTTAAAATATGTCAATTTTCAATTTTTTGTTTATTTATAGTGTGGCTATTGGATATTAAGATTGCCACCATAATACATTGTCCTTTAACTTTCCCTTACGGACTCCAAGGCACGTGTTTTTTAATATCACATCAACGTTTGTTTTCTCTTAGGTAGTGTTTGGCAACTAGCATTTCATTTCAATTCATGCATTTCAATTCCAAAATTTAAAATCTTGAAATTCAAATGACAAGGGGAGGATCATGGATTTCAAATTAAACTTTGTTTTGAATGAGAAGAATTTGACTTAAATCCAAATTCAAATTTTTTAAGTTTCCCAAACATGGAATTTGAGCCAAATCCGGATTTGAAGTCCAAATCCATGTTCCCAAACATACCATTAATGTATTTTTTTAAATAATATTGTTTTTGTTTGTATTTAGGATCTACAGGATTCAAAACCCTGGGATTTTATGTTCTGAAAGAATAAATAGTGAACAGCAATTTTGATTATGAAGAAACTGGAAATATTTTTTGTTCAGTGTAAATAGTGTCTCCTACATTTTAGTGTGCATGCTGAAGGTGCTGTTTTAGAGTTGTGGAGTCCTTTTAGGGTTGTGTGTAAGTGCTCTTGGGGGCTGGGCCTTCTAAGTAATTTAAGCTCTCTTTTGATTGATGCTGTTGGATAGAAGTTAGCATTTTTTTGTTTCATTTCTTTTTTCTTTCTTTCTTACATGATTTGTTTCGTGCCTCTATGCTGCTCACCTTACACTACTTTTCACTGTTTGTCGAGATCCTCTTGAAAATGGCATATACTTTTCATGGTAGATGTAAGTTCTAAGGCTTCTTGCCCCTAGAGCCAATTTCTGAGTAGGATATTCCAAGTCTTTTTGGTACGGTTTGGTCATCTGGTTTTTTAAACATCAAGTATAGATTGCATTGTAGAGGACTCCTACTTTTTACTGCACATAGGAGATTGGTCTTAGACATGTGAATAACCATGTATGCATGGGCCAATACCATTAGATGTAATTATGTGATACTCCCTCTGTCCCTATTTAATTTTGGGCAGAGGAGAGAGAATTGATGTGAACCATAATCATACCATTTTTTCTTTAAAAGGAAATGAGAAGATTAATTAGGGACTTCCAAAAAGGAAAGTGGGAAGATTAAATAGGGACGTAGGGTGTTAATTTTTCTAGGAAAGTAGTTGATGGTGTCAAGCTCTAATGCTTTGTGAGAAACTTTGGTCTTTTAAATACAGTGCCAGTAACACTGTTATGTTTAGAATCCTACATCTTTCAGAAGAAATTACATTAGGTTTTTAAAATCATTTATATTCTTGTTTCTATGTTGCACTCTTATATGCTCTTTATCTCTTTGGTTATTGTTTGTGCATATTCTTAGTCAAAATTCTTTTGATTTAAATGAGCTTCTGGTTTATGTTCCTCTAGTGTATGGTCTGCTGCGATGGATGCATTGACGGTGTTTATAAAACGCTTTCTTTCTTCTCTTGATGTGAATAAGGGGGTGTTACTTCAGCCAGTGCAACTATATCTTAGTAGGTAAAAATATTATATATTTTGATTTGTTTTAATGTATTTGTTATTTGTAAAAACACCACACAGACATTCACAATCCATTAGGCATATATAAGTATTATAAAAATACGATATTTCAAAACTCTATTTTAAGATGAAACTACTGATGTTAACTTTAACTAAAATTTGATAGGTTTTTTCTCAATTTTATTACTGAAATTTACATATTTTGATTTTAAAAAGTCAAATGGGAACCTTGTTTTGGGACAAGGGGAGTGTATTCAAGAAGAATTGAAAAATATTTATAAGAAACAACCTACACTGGCAACACATTCCGCTGTTATTCCCTCACCGCAATATAATAATGATGTCACATGTTTCACTACCTTATCATTGTCACCAACTCTTTGCCATCCCAACCATTGCCATAAAGTTAGTAATTACTCATTATGGACTACGTTTTTCTTTAGTTTTATCATTTAGCTTTAATGTTTTGAAAATGCTATCCAATTGTAGCTTTTAGCATTAGCATTTTGCCATTTTCAAAGATAATTTGCACCATTAAAAAATTATCCAAAACACGACGCTAATTACAAACCCCAGCGTAGTTGAGATGATACTGGGTTTGTTGTATTTCTTTGTAATTACTTTAAGTATTATTATTATTATATGAATTATCTATCTATCTATTTATTTATTATTATTACTATTAAACAGATTGCTTTTTATGCAAAACAGTTGTAACATACTTGTTCTCGATGTCCTAGAAAATGAACTGCACGGAAAGATAAATTTTCTACTTTCAGCCAGAAAATATAAATGATTTCTTGGGGTTTTGGTTTCCAAAATATTGATACTCCCGAGAGTTACCTCGCAACAGAGTTTCTGAAATGGACTCATAAGAAGGTTTAGAAGAAGTATCAAATTAGTGTATTTTTAAAAACTGACTTTTCTGGATCCATGTCGAAGCAGGGCCCTCTCCTGCATATTACAATTGGTGACTAGAGACAACAGTAATGCAAAACCCGGAGTGGATGTATTAATCATCAAGACACTGCAGGCCTATCAGTCCCTTTCTGACCCAAATGCATATAAAAGTGATCATGCTCATATTGTTTATCTTTGTACAGCACCTTTTAGGTAATCTACAGTATTCCATTATTTTAAAGCACCCATTTTACCATTTAATTGACTTCAGTTACAGCAGGCTTCATCTCATGCTTTATTTGTGTTAAGAGTAAAATAATCCGGTATATAAGCTCTTGAGTTAAACTAACTAATCGATTGGATTCAATCTTTTAATGTGGTTCGACCCAAGTGTCTTATTACCCAATCAAGTTGTCCATACCCATCCCAAATTCTATCATGGTATCGGAGCAGGTTTTGGCCAACCTCGTTTGTCAAGGTGTCCGTCTAGACGTTCATTCCTAGCGGCCCGTTAGTCTTTAGCCCAGTTGTCCGTATGGAGTATGTACCCAACGGCCTGTGGCCCGTTTAACCCGATTGCACGTCTGGAAGTCCATACCCAGCGACTCGTGGTCCTTTAGGTGTTGGCGCTCAAAAAAAAATCAAGGGGATGGGAGTCCATTTGCAAGTGGTCAACCGGTTAGATTCAAAATGNGTTCATTCCTAGCGGCCCGTTAGTCTTTAGCCCAGTTGTCCGTATGGAGTATGTACCCAACGGCCTGTGGCCCGTTTAACCCGATTGCACGTCTGGAAGTCCATACCCAGCGACTCGTGGTCCTTTAGGTGTTGGCGCTCAAAAAAAAATCAAGGGGATGGGAGTCCATTTGCAAGTGGTCAACCGGTTAGATTCAAAATGGCCCGGTTATCCACTTGAGGGGGAGTGTTAAGAGTAAAATAATCCGGTATATAAGCTCTTGAGTTAAACTTACTAATCGATTGGATTCAATCTTTTAATGTGGTTCGACCCAAGTGTCTTATTACCCAATCAAGTTGTCCATACCTATCCCAAATTCTATCATGTTAAAATTCCGGCGGGCCGATAACAACGGATAGAGTGTCGGGTGAAATTAACCACTTGCATATAAAGTCGGGATCCACAATTCTAACCCAAAAGCTTAAGCTGATAGGTAGGGCTTCACCCTTCAATATATGCAAGTGATACTCATCTTTATTTTCCGATGTGGGAACTCCAACACTCCCCCACAAGTGGTAACTAGCCTGGCCTAGTTAGCACTTGGACAAACGGGTCTAGCATCTCAATCTCTTATAGCTAGCCCACACAACGGGCGGTGGCATCTCAATCTCTTTTTAGCCAACTCAGCCCAAACCACAGACGAGGTAGCTCATTTTTGCTAAACCCACATCCAAACAACCAGGAACAATCAAACCCGGACCGGACCTGCTTCGATACCATGTTAAAATTCCGGCGGGCCGATAACAACGGATAGAGTGTCGGGTGAAATTAACCACTTGCATATAAAGTCGGGATCCACAATTCTAACCCAAAAGCTTAAGCTGATAGGTAGGGCTTCACCCTTCAATATATGCAAGTGATACTCATCTTTATTTTCCGATGTGGGAACTCCAACAATTTGAGAATATGGCTAACTTTGACCTTAAATATTTATATGAGAATGACAACAGGGAAGCATCTAAATTTGAAGAAAGTTCGTGCTTGCGCATGCTTCTAGACAAGAGAGACGCATGGCTTGGTCCGTGGAACCCTGGAAGGTCTCTGCCTGTGACTATATAAACATTGCCCTTATCCTTTATAGGCAATATGCCATTCTCTTGATCATGAGGTGCTGTTGTGAATTCAGTTGAGTAAATGGGTGTCACTTTTTTGCTTATTTTACACAGTGATTGGTTGGAAGATGAACTTCGTTCATTCCAAGGGGGGAGTGATGGCTTATTGCCTTGTGTTTGGGAACATGAGCCCCCCACTTTTCCTCAGGTAAATCATCCCCTGATCCCCTTTCCGTTTTTCAACAAAAAAAATCTGTGCCATTGCAGGTTTTTCAATGACTTGCTTGTAGACAATGAACTAATAATTCTGATATGATCTTGAAGCCGGATACAATAAGCAAATCCTTGGTAAATCAAATGCTTCTCTCTTTTGGAACCATGTTTGCTTCCCAGGTAGGTAGTAATTTAAGGTTTGCCTTTTAGCCCATATTGTGCTATCTTGGTGGAAGCATCTCCTATTTGTAAGTTTTAATTCTATATTTCATCCCAGGATAATACGGGCATGCTTGCACTTATTGGTACAGTTGAGAAATGTCTAAAGGCTGGAAAGAAACAAGCTTGGCATTCCGCTAATGTTACTAATATATGTGTTGGGTTACTTGCGGGATTAAAGGTTTTCATGAGCTTTCTTCTTGCCTTTTTTTAATTTTTGAATTTTAAAGCCTTGTTTTTTAATATCGACTTTGATATAGCAAATTTTTTACTGCCTGTAATATACACCCTTCTTCCCAAAAACTCTTTCCCCTTGACTTATATGGAATTTAAGGGAGGGATATTTTTGCTTTAACTTTCCAAGATTACCCTTGATGTGATGGGTAAAAGTAGATTAGTAGTGAATAAATATGATGTGATAGGTAGGGTAAAAATTAGTAGGGGCAATATTGAAAAGACTTTTTAGGACGGGAAAAAAGTGAAAGGGGAAAATCTTTTAGGGACGGAGGAAGTATTTGATATTAGTGTTGGTGCAGGCATTACTTGCATTACGTCCTGAGCCCCTATGTCTGGAAGTTTTCAGTGCCGGACAGTCTATTTTTCAGGTTTTCTGCTATTGGTTCTTGCTTATCGTACATTGATGTCATTTGTTTTCAGTCTGGAAGTTTTCACTGCGGGACCGTCTATTTTTCAGTTTTTATTCTATATGTACTCGCTTATCGTTCATCGATGTCATTTGTTTCTTATACTTCTGTATCACCTGACAGATGATTTTGGCTGAGGGTGATATCAACTCATCTCAACGTAGAGCACTGTCTGAATGTCTTGGGTTGCTAGCACGACTTGGGAATGATGTCTTAACTGCTAAATTGGTTAGAACGTAATTTCTACGCATTCTGCTGCTTGCTGTTAAATTTGCATGTAAAGTTTGCCATATTGTACAAACTAACAATTCCATTTTGTTGCAAAGTTTCCCTTTCAAATTTTCATCTCTGGGGAAGTGACTGCTATTTTCTGCTGCTGACTTACAAACATTGTGTTCAAGTCTTCTACCTTTGTGCGTTCTCATGATGTGAACTGACTAGTTTTTGTTATCACAGACAAGATCATTCCTTGACAATGTAAATAGCACAGCAGATTCACATTACGCTGCTTCGATTGCCCTTGCTCTTGGTTGCATTCATCGCAGGTAGTCAAGAGACTTAAAGGTCTTGATTCGTTTTGTATTAGAATTTTCATTCTGAAAGAGAAAAGAGTCCGAAAGTGAAGATTACACCTCGTGGGCAAAACTACCCTTGAGTCTTGCCCAACTACAAAGCTATCAATAATTATAAAATTTTCAGATGCCTTCTCTGTTATGAGAATGTCTATACATAGTGAAGTGTAACATAAAAAAATTATTGGTGCCCTAATCAACCAATCAATCAATCATCCGTCATGCCACCTATATACTACAAAACATAAATGTCAACAGAAGAAGCTCGATAAAATCTGTAAAGATCACCAAATATTCCCTTGCCCATTGGTGTCTATCCTTTATACAGACACACCGGTCTTCAATTTACATACAAAACTAGTTAGAGCAACTCCAACGGAGCTGCAAAAAATTAAGAGCTAAAACTCCTTTTTAGAGTGTGTACAGTAATTTGAATGCTCACATTTTTGTATGCCCTCCAACCATATCAGTTATTATTCATAAATTTAATATATTTTATTGCTTTTTTACTCTTTTTTGTGAGATAGCTACAAACTAGGCATGTCAGGTTAACACTCGTCCCTCCTACTTTTCACATTTGTTTATTACTTTTTTATTATAGCTTATGAACTTAATCTTCTATATATAGATGACCTAAAGTTAAAACTAGCTCACGGTGTATATTTTTCCTTATCCGTTGGAGCTCAATTTTGTCTACAGTGTAGTGTTAAAACTTTAATTTTTAGACTTCAACAAAATATAGAGGCTCCATTGGAGTTGCTCTTACAGCTGGAAGTGGACTTTCATTGTGAATGTATTTTATCGCATTCTGAATAATTACACAAGGCGCTGTATTGTTTTTGCGTTTCCTAATATTTTTTTGTTCTTCTGACCTGTGGATGACTGAATGCTGTTGATCTTGGTTTCAGTGCAGGGGGAATGGCATTGTCAAGTTTAGTGCCTGCAACTGTGAACACACTGTGTTCTCTGGCTAAAAGTTCAATCACTTGTTTGCAAATCTGGTCTTTGCATGGACTTCTCTTGACAATTGAAGCTGCTGGCTTGTCTTATGTGTCTCATGTTCAGGTATCTAAGTATGGTGGCTGATATGTAGTACGATGATGTACATCTATTGTCTTTAATTGTCATTCATACACAAGAGTACAACAACAACAACCCAGTTGGATCCCACAAGAGTAGGGTCTAGGGAGGGTGTGTGTGCGTAGACCTTGCCCCTACTCGAAAGTAGGGAGGCTGTTTCTAAGAGACCCCTGGCTCAAATAGCAAAAATAATAAAAGATGATAAGAGTAATAAAAGATTTCATGAGATACATAATAAAGAAATGAAAGCACAGATAAAGCCCAAAGCGCACAAAGGCAATGAATGAACTAATGTTAACGAAGGAAAAGTACTGCAAACAGAGAGTACCAAGCACATAAGGCAAACAAAGCACACAAGTCTAGAAACTACCACCTAGCCCGAAACGCCTACCCAACTATTCTAATCCTAGCTCTCCATACGCTCATAAGTCATATCTAAGGTCATATGGAGACTTGTTGATGATAAATTGTTCAAGCTTAAAACTTTAGGTACACAATCTTTTGTTCCACGTCCAATTTCATTGAAAAAGGGCTCTGGTTAAGATGTTAGGCAGTTCTATTGGCATGAATGCAAATAACAATGACAACCAACCTGGTAAAATCTCACGGATAGCTGGATAGGGATTGACATGAATCCATGGTTTGATGAGTTGCATACTTCATACTAGATTTGGAAACTAAAAGATAAAAAGACTAAACTAGGAGTAAAACTTGGAAAAAGTACCAAAATAGAACTTCCATGTTTTTTATCCCCAAAATAGGAGTACAATGCCAATATATATAGTACCAAAAATTACACTGAGATGCCACTATATAGTGCCATTACGTCACAATGTGAACTCCTACTTTGGGGATAAACACATGAAACTCCTATTTAAAGATAAATGCTATGTTTTACTTTTATTTGGGATGATTTCTTAAAATTTAAATTAATAAGAAAAGTGCCCATCACAAAAATGATAGTTTTTTACTGTTATGAATTGATTGATTTACTCTTTTTTGTTAGAAATCTTGTCTTCCAACTCCTTCCAATTCTTTCCAATTTTTTTCAACTCTTGATTTCTCCCAGCTCTTTATGTTTTTCCATTCTTTCTAGTTTTGCTAACTTCCAGTTCTTCCACTGTTTCTAGTTTTTCTAACTCCTTGCTATCTTTCTCTAACTTCAAATTCTGCTAAGGCCCCATTCCGTTCAACTTATTTTTTCTTATTCTTATTTAAATCAGATCAGACCAGATCAGATCAAATCTGACCAGATCAGATCAGATTCAATCAGATCAGATCAAATCAGATCCCATCTAGAATTATTATTATTATTATTATTATTATTATTATTATTATTATTATTATTATCCTTAAAAATGAAAAAGGATAAACTTTAGAAACAAGTTAAATAGAAGACTGAGAAATTAATCCTTAATTATTAGACGTCGGAAAAATTATTTTTAAAATACATTGACAACGTCAATCTAATTCTACTTTTAAAATACGTTTTTATTGCTACATGTAATTTGAGTTTCTAAAGTTTTGATCTTTTATAAGGATGAGATGTTTTAATAAAAATACTATCTCTTCTCTATATTGATTATCTAAATTTAATTATTTTTTAATGTATGTATAAATTAAATATTTATTCTAATGTATATATGAACTACTTATTAAAATATTAAGTCAATATTCTTATTTCACAAAAAATAATCATAAAATAAAAAATATTATTACATTATAATATGAATGATTATTCTAGTATATGAATTAACTAATTTTATTTTATTAAAAAATAATTATAAAATAAAAATATTGATTATATTATAATATGAATTATCATTACAATTTTCAAACGTTATTATAAATTCAAATCAAGTTATTGATTTAAATTTTAAATCAAATCATAATTAATCAGATTAGATCAGACTAGACCAGACCAGATCAGATCCAATCTGATCAGACCAGATCAGATCCAATCAGATCAGATCAAAGCAGATCCAATCAGATCAGATCCAATCAGCCAATCTGATCAGACCAGATCAGAACTACAAAAAATCAGATCAGAAAAAATAAGCTGAACGGAACGGAGCCTAAGTGCACTTCTATTTCCATTTGATCTGACTTCATTTTCTGTTTCACTGCTTTTCCTAACACGAGAATGTGGGGAAAATGACCCTCAATTCCCCCCTTTTCAAACAGACCCTTAAAATTAACTTATGGCAATAATCCTAAACGGAAATGGGAATTTGTTTTTGGGATGAATGGAGTATAAGAGTGAATGTGAGTCACATGAATATTCCTAATGGTATGGGAAAGTGTGTGGTTGAGTTTTGTGCAGAGGGGAGAGAAATTTTGTGAATAACACATTTTCTTCCTCAATGTGAAAGAGGAACCAATTTCCGGGTCAAACAAAAAAATCCTTTTTATGGGTTGAAGAGATTATAAAAAGTTAAGAGATACACAAATAGTGAAACAAGGGGAATACATTATTTTAATAAAAAATACCATATAAAAAAATACTCCCTTCCGCTATGTTTGTCCCTTTTCAGTTATGATGTTTGACTCAAACTTTTTTTGATGGAATTTACCTAAAAATTGGTGTAGAACTTAAAATCAAAATTTATATTTAAACACAATCAAAAGTTTTACAAAACATGAAAAATATGTAAAGATAGTATATTTGGTTTGAATCTGTGAGTAGTGAATAGGACAAAAATAGTGGGACAGAGGGAGTAATATTTATCTGAACTTCTTTCAACTTTTTCTAAACAAGTTTTACCATAATTTTTAACTCCTAGTTTTTCCAACTCCCAAATTTTCCAACTCATTTCAATTTCTTCCAACATTCAACTCTATTTATTCAACCCAAAATAACATATTAGTTTGCTAAATTCATGAGGTATAAAGAAGAAATCTTGGTGCAGTCAATCACTTTAGATCTAAGTATCAAATGGAAACATCATCTACCATGGATTTTAAGTCTATATTAAACTTGCTTCTAATGTTGATTTAGTAATTTCACACTCCCTTGGTGCCCTTTATCTTCACTCTCTTTTCTTTTTGGATCATCCCCAAATAAAGATCTCATTTTTTTATGGAAAATTGTGCGGTTCATATTAGTTTTTTCTCTTAAAATGAATCTCAACCAAAATTTTATATTCCTTAATTTTAAAATCAAACGCGGAAGATAAATTTGTTACAGAGTGATTATGTAGCTGTTGTTATCATTAAGTCCTCATTTTTGGATACATCCATTGGCATTATAAGAGATACATTGCATACTTCTAGTCTCCAACAAATTCACAATAGATTGGCAACTCTAAATTGTATTATAAAAATTGCCTGCCACAAAAAATTGACGAGTTTTTTCAATTGTTTTTCATTGATTGAGGTACATACTTTTAGTTTACCGAAACTCTGAGAGGGAAAGAAGAAATCAAGCAATTTAGGGCAAGGAGTCAAATGGAAAGATCAGTTACCATGAATTTCAGAAATCTATAAAACTGCTTCTGATGTTGATTTAGAAATATAATACTCCCTCAGAACCCTTTTACCTCCCCTTTTTTTTAGTTTGTCTCTAAATAATTTTCTCATTTTCTTTTCAGGAAATAATTGCATGGTTTTTATTGATTCACTGCTGTTTAGTTAACTTTGAACCAAAATTATTTTCCAAAATCCTCATGTTGTCATGCGTGGTGTATCTCTAAGCTTACTCTTTTCGTTTCCTGCTATTGTTATTGTGGTTTCCCTCAAAGCCCACCCCTAAGTGTAGCTGGACTGCTGTAGACTAGAAATTGCCTTTATTATGCATATGGTCTCCTTGGACCTTCCCTGATATGTTATGTTAGACTTGGACACTAAAGTGAACTTCTGTAATGAGTTTTGTTCTCCTCACCCTTCCCTCAGACCCTGCTATCTTTATCACTACATATACAAGGATATGAATGTACCATGAGTCCTACAGTACTTCACTATATTTTGGTTCAGAATTGGAATATCATATCGTTTTGTTTTTGGATTACTCTAGTTGGTTTAGGTGTTTGAGTTGAAGTTTTTCTTCTCTTTCAGTCTTTCCAAAAAGCATGCTCATTTTTTCTTTTTACTATCTTTTTAGGCAACACTTGGCCTTGCTATAGATGTTCTTATGTCCAATGAGGTTTGCTCTATTGAGCTTCATCAAGGTGTGGGCTGCCTTATAAACGCTATTGTTGCAGTTCTTGGTCCTGATCTAGCTCCTGGAAGTATTTTCTTCTCCCGCTGCAAGGTAGGTTACTTAGATTACAAGTCTAAAAAAATTGGCATTGACATATTAAAGAGAGATGGTTGAGTTCATAACGCATTGTGTTATGGTAGTCAATCCATTTGATTCAGTCCATACTAGGTTTGGGTCATGTACATTATGATTTAGTTAACTGATCCTAACCCAATTTTAAATTAAATCATGATGTGGATTGTCACTCCGGCCTATCTCGTTAATTGGGTCCTATTTTCGGGACAAAGGAGTTAATGAAAAACTAATCTTGTATATGTGTTCCTCTTCAGTCTGTCATTGCAGAAATTAGCTCCAGGCAAGAAACATCAACACTTCTCGAGTAAGCACACTTGGAGAATTTGTGTTTGTATTTTAATGATGTTTCCTTTTTCTATTTTAATTTTCGAACAGAGTGGAGAATTTATTTTTCTATTTGTATATTATCTATGTTTTTTTGTTAGTCATCTTTAAATTTCTTCTTTTGTGTAACAGGAATGTCCACTTCACTCAGCAATTAGTACTCTTTGCACCACGTGCTGTTAGTGTGCATTCCCACATTCAGGCTCTCCTCCCTACGCTCTCCTCAAGACAGGTAATCTCCACCACCCTGCCCCTCCATTCTCCCATGAGGATCAGTAAATGTTTCACGTCCATTTTACAAATGTGGATGATACATCTCATAGATTTTGTTTGCAACAGCCGACACTCAGGCTTCTTGCTCTGTCTACCCTACGCCATCTCATAGAAAAGGATCCGGTTAGTGACTTGAAATTTGTATCTATGTGCAATGTAATTCATTAATAGGAGAACTATGTAAAGAATAATATTTCCTTCATTCTAAAATAGTTGCAATATTAAGTTTTTCTCGTTTGTCAATGCACAATGTAAATCTTTAATATCTTCTGTTATGTTACGAAAAAATATTGATATTATGAAAGCATAAACTGAGAGGAATATACCAAGATCTCACATGACTTTTTCCCCCCCTCATGTATATATCACAAAAGATGGGCAAATAATAATGGTCGAATAGTGTAAAAGTTTGACTGTTGCATCTTTTGTTTTTCAGCAAATGAAGTATATTTTTTCAAATGTGCTTTTCTACTGTAACACTCCCTGCGTCCATTTTTTACCTTCCCGTTTTGACTTGGTTGGCATATTTGTGCAAGATAAAAAGGGCATTGACTTTCCCAAATTACCCTTCTACCGAACCGACCCATTCGTGTATCAATTCGCACCACCCTCACACAGTACTGCCTTCGACCACCACAATCACCGTTTCAACAGCCCCCTCCCCCACTCCAAAAACTACATCAAAAGTTTTACAAAACTAGAGGAGTTGGAAAGAATTGGAGGAATTTGGTATAAACTGGAAGGATTTAAAAGAAATAGATGGAGTTGGAAAAAAATAGGAGTTAGTTGAATTTGGAAGGATTTAGAAAAACTAGAAAGAGTTGGAGAAACTTGAAGGAGTTGGAAGTTAAGAATTCATGCCCACCTCACTCTTGTACTCAATATGCATATTCTACTATCTAAGCTCATGTGCTCGGTGAGGTATGGAAGCATTAAGTGTTTTCTAACCACCTCATTTTAATCTTATCTCTACCAACCACCAACCTCTCACACTTTCTAACAGTCATCAATACTCCTTTGTTCATTCCCAAACCACCTCAACCTTAATTGACATATCTTATCCTCTATCGGAGCTACCCGTACTGAGACTATGATATCAGCTTGAGCCTTGAGGGAATCTTATTTTCAGTCTACATTCATCAAGACATATTTCTGCTCATTTTCTTCTCTCCCTATGGTAAATGAAATTTCTAGGCTATTATTTGTCTTTTTAGGCATTGTTTTCATCATTTATAGAGCATCTCATAACTTAATTGGAAAAATATCAATTAAGAACCATCTCCATAATAATCAGAACTGTCCTGCAACAACAGAGCTTGGAAATTGCTGCCATTAACACAGACCTACAAGGCTACAAGCTGTGCAGGCTGTTATCTAACACCACATGCACTGATATTGTCCTCTCTCCCTGACAACCTTTTGTCGAACTGCCAATCTCTATTAAGCAACACCTGCGATGCTTTTTGATCCACATGCTGACCCACAATCCACCTTAGTGCTCTGAGCGATTTTTCCACAACCTTGTTTTTAATCCAAATGACTTTACATGATACAATATTTATTGCAATTTGTAACCTACCCTTGTTTTGGAGATATTTTTGGAGGGTAAGTAAGAGTGAGTACTCCTTCCTACCCTTGTTTTGGATATTTATCGGAGGGAAGCAAGAGCGAGTACTCCTCCCCACCCTTATTTTCATGATTTTTTTGGATGATACGTAGGAGTGAAAAGTCACACTTACTCCCATCTACACCTATTTACTTTCCATTTTCTAACACTCCAAAATGACGTGTAAGAGAGTGTAAGATTGAACTTTCAAACAATGATTCTTCACTTATTCTTGTTTACTCCATAAGATTTCGCTTTACTCTCCATCCAAATAGAGCCTTAATTTCATTCCTCTTTTTGGGATTATCAACCACTTGGCTAGTGGTCTATGTTGATACTCTATTGGGTTAAAATGTACATGTTCATACTGGCTGATGTTAGAGATGTTCTAGACACTTCTAGTGCTTTTGTAAAATATTCTACCTTAAGGTTTCACACTTGGAACCTCATGCTACACATCCGAAGTGTTCTACCCACCCTTGCCACATGTTCTTGTTGTAAGCTTGCAGTGTGAAAATGCACATAATTATAGTTAGTGAAATGTAAAAGATTTTCCTAAAAATTAGAAGTTAAAAAGAGTACTAGCCGAATCGTGTTGCTAAAGGGGTCATATAAAGTATTGACATTGAATAGCTAGTGTGTTGCCTAACCCTATCATAGTTCATCTATATTTATACTAGTAATTTTAAACCAACAACAACAACAACCCAGGTGAATCCCACAACAGTGGGGAGGGTGTGTGTACGCAGACCTTGCCCCTACTTGGAAGTAGGGAGGCTGTTTCCAAGAGACCCCTGGCTCCACCTGCACAAAAATATGGAAGGGAACACAGTATAACACAGATAAAGTACCAAGTACAAGCGACACGTACAAGCAATAGCAGAAGATTCCAAACAAATACAACACACTACAAAACAACCTCTACAACACCGAGCACCTATCCAGCTACTCTACTCCTAGTTTTCCAAAGGTTCCTATCTAGGGCCATATCCTCAATCAGGTCGAGAAGTCCTAAATCCTGCCTAATCACCTCCTTCCAATTCTTCGTAGGTCTACCCCTTCCCCTACTTCCCCCGATAACCATAATCCTCTCGCATCTCCGTACAGGGGCGTCAGCATCCCGCCGTCTCACATGTCCAAACCATCTCAACCTCGCTTCCCGCAATTTATCTTCCACCGGCGCCATGCCTACCTGACGTCGGATAACTTCGTTCGAAATCCTATCCAACCTTGTCTTCCCACACATCCATCGTAACATCCGCATCTCCGCCGCATGCAGACGACGCACATGAGTCTTCTTAACCGCCCAACACTCTGCCCNAGAACTTGTCTTTCATCCTGGACGAAATCTTCGGGTCACACAATACCCCTGAAGCCAACCTCCATTTGGCCCAAGCCACTCCAACACGATGTCCAACATCCCCGTCTAACTCCCCATCAGCCTGGATTACCGAGCCAAGATATCGAAACCTGTCTACCTTAGGTACTAGGTGAGAGTCAATCCTAACTTCCACCTCTGATTCTGTTTCTCTGCCGCTGAAACGACACTCCTAGTATTCAGTCTTGTTCCTACTTATTCTGAATCCTTTAGTCTCAAGGGCAAGGCGCCATAATTCCAACTTATCGTTTAGTCCCTCACGTGTGTCGTCGATACTAGTAATTTTAAACCCTACATTAAATTATACTCCCTTTGTCTCAAAATTTGTTTTTGTTTGACTTTTCTTGATCAAAGTTAGTAACCTTTGATCATTCTTATTTTCCCATGTGTTCATTTTATAAAAATAAAAGATTAATCTCCTTTCATTATTTTTGTTCTTATCACTATACTCTCTATCTCAATTTATCTTGTCTATTTTTTTGTTTGTTCCAATTTATTATGCATGTTTCTATTAATAGAAAGCATTATTCAATTCGTAGTCCTTTTTTTCCTGCATAAATCTCAACCTCAATTAAACTTTATTAATCTTTGTGTCTAGTCAATGTAAGCACAATATAATGGGATGGAAAAAGGGTACATATATGAATGTGTATGTGTGTGCACACACAAACATAATGCCATGTCTTTTACAGGTCTCTGTCATCAATGAACAAATAGAAGTTGCATTGTTCCATATGCTTGATGAGGAAACTGATGCTGAGTAAGTTGATTGCATGTTAATGATTTTGAAAATGTTAGTAGCACGTTTTTGATATTTTGATGATGCGGGAAGGCATTTTGTGATCAGTCAAGGACAATTACTGTAGGAAAAACTGTACAGTGACAGTCTTTCTCATGTTTTGTGTAAATCGCCTTTCTATGTTCCAGTTGGTTGAATTTGGGTGTTATTGTTCTGCAGGATTGGCCGGTTAGCTCGTACTACAATCATGCGTTTGCTCTATGAGTCATGCCCATCATGTCCTTCTCAGTGGCTTTCAATATGTCGCAAGATGGTAAAAATGTTTTCTCTGTGCTTGATGGCATATTATAACTCGATTATACATGCAAGGTTTGGTCTGTATGGAACACGCAGATGAATGTCAAATCTTTATTCGTTAATGCATGATATAGAATTTGAGCTTTATACTTTTATGTGATTTTTATATCAATACAAGCTCCGAGTCCTCATCCAGATCCCATGCCCATGCTTCTTTCCCTCTCATCCTCTATGTTGTTGAGCTTATTATTATCTAAAATGGCATGGTTTAGAATAAAGTTTCAGCAAGTTTAGAGCATCATATGTGCTAGTTGCCTTATTGGATGTGCTCATGAGATATGTTCTTTCCCTGAATCTTCAAATCTGCCCGTCTCCTCTCCTTCAATTTTAAGATGTCTCTCCACTCTATTGACTCATCACTTTTGGTTCATTTATTTATTTTATTGACTTTTTTGGTTTATTATTATTATTACTATGATTATATTTAGCAACTTGCATCACCAAGCCACAGCTTGTTTTATTTTTAATTTAAATCATTTCTGTACTTGTAATGATCAAAAGCTAGTATAATTAATGTTGGCATTAGAATTTAATTTTTTGATTATTCATAATTTATTATAATAATATTATTTTGTATGATTTTTTTTTGACTTTTAACTTGAAGAGTTTAAAATATGTAATCTTGTGCTAAATTCTCTACACCGCCTGAGGCATTAAATACTCTAATTATTTGTAATGCATTAAAAGTATGTTGTTACTTGTTACATATAACCAAATTAGTGAATTTTATTTATTTAAAAAAAATTTGGTGTTATTATAATTTGATGTGTTCCTTGTGCAATAGACGATAAACATCCTTGTGCTTCCTTCCTGCTCTTCCAAATGCAATAGACAGTGCACGCAATCATGCGGCCTTCCTCCTAGCCGAACTATCATGGTACCCCTTCTGTAGCCACCTAATTGCCCGACTCAAAATAGTGAGCTTGTGCCTGGATGCCAAGCCAATGATGAACATTCCCCAGACCAGCGCTCCAATGGAACACCCAAAAAACAAGTGCTCAGTGTCCTCATTGCCCTCTCCGCGAAGACTGCACTCTCGTGACATATCAATGAAGGCTAGGTTGACCTTTGTGGGGAGTCTGCCACGCAAAGCAAAGCAAAGAGTAAACGAGAACTTCAGAGGTATATATATAAGTCTTCCAAATGAAACTCATCCATGGAAAAGATTGACCCTGCACCCTAAACATATCATAAACCTTTCCAAAGTCAAGCTTCCCATTCACACAGAGGCTATGTAGCACCATACCTATATGGCCAACCCCCCAGTCTTAAGAAGCATAATGTCACAGATTTCCGTCAACTTTTTGAACAAATGTGAATGGCGTGTGGATTCCACTCTCACACTGACCGTCCCCGGGGATAATAACCACTTTACTCTTAGTGTATCCTTCTTCTCATGAATGTTCCACAAAATCTTCGCAAGCAACACCTTTTTTCAAACTTCACAATCTAAGGCTAAGGCCACCCTCCGACTTAGGCTTGCAGATATCAGCCCAAGC